CGGCGCAAAACGAGAAGCATTCGGACCCAAGCACTGAAGGAATGAGGTATTTGCGGTCTACACTGACAGAGAAGAGACTGTCAGTGTGACTGTACTCAGCATTGAATCAAAACGCACTGAAGCTGTTGATTAATACGTTTGTGAGGCGTTTTGCTGAACAAAATGGTAATCGCCGCATTCAGCTGTAATAGACATGTCAACTTGATGCTCTGCTCACGGATGAGTATACACAACTATTAAGATGATGACCTTACGTGTAATATATTTTTTTCTTTGAGGGGGTCTGCCCCCAAAAAACAGTTTTAAGTCCTGAGAAAGTCAAATCAGACGGTGTGTAAAACTACACTGCCCAGCCAAAAAAAGTAACCACTTTGATTTAACTAGGCCAGTAGGTAAGGACTTTCCACTGGATAATAACTGCAGTATAAAAGAATGCATGACTGAAGTGATGGAGACCATGTTTGAAGGCAAACAAAAAGAGGAAATAACAGGTCAAATCAAGCAAATCCCCCTCTCAGATTCCACAGCAACCAGAAGAACATAAATACTGGCTGGTGATTTGATTAATCAGCTTTGTGATGGAATAAAAAATGCACAGTGCATTTCCTTAGCTTTGGGTGAGTCCACTGACACCACTGACAATGCTCAGTTGCTGGTGTTTGTGAGTTTTTATGATGAGGCAAAGGGGGAGTTTGTTGAAGATGTGTTGGGCCTGACGAACCTCAGTGGACACACAAGGGGGCAAGACATTTATAAAGCAATAATGGGAATGCTGAATGAAAGAGGGTGCAGCTGCCTTTATTCATAACTGTGCAGCTCTTACACTGCGACTCTGAGGGGTCAAGCACAGACACAATAACAATGAAAACTGCTGCATACAGATTATTTTTGTTTTTGCAACCTCGTGTTAAGATTCTTGTTGCAATTGTTTAAAAGTTTGAATGACCGTAATAAACGGACCTTTGTCTTATTGAAACATTTATTTTGGACCTTTAAGATTTGTATTTGAGTACCCCTGATTTAGATGATGCAGATCTGTGTGGCAGCAAAGACAAAGGAAGTATAAAATGTGCTTAATAGATTCACAAAAACAATCTCCCTAGATGAATGGATTGTTAAAACAATCATTACGTGCAGCCTGTGCATACAGTAGTGTACTCAATGAATGTTGACACTGTTACAACACTGGAGAAAGAGTCAAAGAAAGTTTAGTTTGGCCTTTTCTCACCACTTCCTTCTCTTTGCGACCAACCCTGCATTACAGAATTTATGTGAACCTGAGGCCCGACTCCTCTGACCTCCCTCTTCCTGCCTTTGGCCCCTAGGCCCAGTCCACACTGTCTAATGGAGATCAGAGAACGCAGAGGGGAGCGAGCTAAAAGTCTCTCTGAAGAAAGAAGCAGATTATATATAGCCACTGATTAAGGCAGGGATGGGAACATGACCTACATGCATAACAACATTTTCTCTCACTTTCTGCTACAGAACACGCCTCCGTCCAGGACCAGGACTCTACAACTGGGAGAATCACTCTAATTATAACACCAGAGTCAGATTTCAATGCACACCTCATTAATATATCTCTCATTATTGGGTTCATAATGGTTTTTTGGAGGCGTGGGAGTCTTGGGAGAGCCAGTGACGAACCTTTGCTTCCCATGCAGGTAAAACAAAACTGCCATTATCTTCTATTGTGCCTGTTAGATTATAGTTAAAACAGATAACTTCCTTTCACACACAGAGCCTGCTCCTAAAATAGATACTCCTCTGGGATACTCAGGGGGATGAGGGGAGGAAGGGAGCAGAGCAAGAAAGGTAAGGAGAGAAAGAAAGGACTTTCTCCTTCCTCATCAATCTATCTGGTTCTGTCCCACTGATTCCTATGACCACGTATCAGATCTGCTTCAACAGCAGTGATACCGGCAGGCAGCCGCGGCGAGTGCACTTTGCTGGGATTCAATCCAGATCCTTTTATCAGCCATCAGAGGTTGATTTAACACCTATGTTCCTGGATGGTAAAAAGCATCTGATTATACAGCCAGTCAATCCCTTCCCCCCCCCCCCTCCTCTCCCTCAGCTCCAGCCCATTACCTTCAACTGCTGCGCTGCGCTGTCTGGGCTCACGCAGACACGGAGAGGATGCAGAGAGGCAGGTCAAAGTCGCTGTATGTGTGAACGGTTCAGCATATACATGTGTGTGTGTGCTCTTTGGGATGGATATATTTATCTGATTAAAATGCTGTAAGGCTTGACTGTAATCTGCCAGAAGTGTTCACATTGTTGCAACATTCAAGTAAAATGTTTTCATTATGTGCTTTTGGAATAAATACATCTTTATTTTTGGGCCTTTACATTGTTCATTACTGTTTAGTTGTTTGTGTGTCTTATGTGAAACGCCAGGTTTTAGCGCAGATTAGGGACTACCTCATCGGGATGGCATCTCTAAATACCTTGCTGAGGAGTTGGAGGTGTGCAGCTTGTCTCCTGTAACTCTTCCTCCAACAGCTCACTGTGGCTGCTCCTCCTTGCTATATTTAAACCTGATCCACTGTCAAATGACCAAAATGCCCATGTCTTGCCAAGAATATGTTATTTTCTCTTGTGACTGCTTCACAATAAAAGCAGCCTTGTGTTCAGCTGAATTCAAATAGATTGTTTCACAGTCCCATTTAGATAATTGTATGAAAAAGTATGTGCATGGAGTTGTTGGCTGCCATAATTGTGCTTACACAATGCATAATGCGAGTGTAGGATCTAATGTTTTGAGGTTGAACTCAACTCAACCAAATGTATTAAAGTGCAGTACTAAAATTGGTGGATTAACCCTTTAATGTTGGTACATCTGGGGTATAAATGAAGGAGATTGCAAAGTGTTTTAGAGTAAAATTATGTCCATGTACTATATGTGTGTTTGTTGCCAAATGCTCTGGATTTGCTTAAAACTCAGTAAACCAAAAACATATTCCACAATATTGTGTAAATCATCATGACATTTGATGAAAACCTGCCTTTTTTGTCATAATAAAGCACATACTGGTTTGGATCACTGGGGTTGTTCTACATGTTATATACTGTAGGGACTGCAGAGACTTATTTCCCCTGTGGCTCTTTATATGCATTGGCAGATGGGTTATTGGTGACCTCATCACCTGAGCATGGAGGCAACAAGCAGAAGGGCAGACTGAGCCTCATGAAAACTGCTGGCTGTTCACTTGCAGTTGTAATTATGCACAGATTAGCCTTTCTTATTGCAAACTAAAGAGTAGGTGAGGGGGAACATACTGTGCTAAGCACCAGTATTAAATATAATTTATCTTCACCTACTTGCTTTTGTTTTGCTTGCGTGGGTTTGAGTTCTTCATAACAAAGACTCTAGAGTTTGTTTTTTGAGTTTGTGGGGGGGTAAAGCCCTTTATTTTGGTTGTTCTGATCAAACGAGTTTACAGTGCATGGTGCCGCAGCTGGCTATTATGCAGGTCATATTTAGATTGTCAGTACAGTACAAAAGCTCAGAGATTTGCTTGTAATGAATAGTCCATTTAAAATATCCCTCTTAAACACTCTCAGCTACTTGCAGTAAGAATTCAAGCTTTCCCTCTTGATTATTGGCAGCACTCTGAGACTAAAAATTATGTATATGCAGTTTGGAAAGCATACAATAAGCAGATTTTTGTCCAAAAAGACAACTTTAAGTCTTAACATAAGATTGTTCAATGAATGCAGACCTAAGAGGCTGTATAGATGTTGAATTAGAGTACTCACACAACGATTGCATAAGCTTTGAACATGCATCAATTGATATTGATTGATCGCTGATTGTTAACAACTGTCCTTGGTCTGTGATGAATATCACTACAGACTGAAGATGGTCAGTGCAGCCATCTATTGTGTGTTGGACATAATAGCTCCACACTCGAACACATTGTTCAGTGTTCACAATTTACATAAGGCTTTCACCTTGGCATTTCTATCCTTTTGTACGTACAATACAAAAGCTCCTCTTATAACACGTACCACACACACACACACAAACACACACACACACACACACACACACACACACACACACACACACACACACACACACAACTGTAGCATAGCGAAGGTCAACAAGCCTTTTAAGCCATTATGCTGCAGAGAGACAAATTAAGGTATTCTTCTGATTAGGAGATCCATGCTTAACTTTTCAGTTGGTTTTAAACACAAAACTTTGATGTGCAGCTTGACACAACACATAATGCCAGTCCAGTATTCTTAATTAATTGTAAGGCATTTTCACATACAGAAATATAAAAATAATAAAATAAGTTATTCTCTGTAAACCAATCAAACTGAACTACTCTTATTAATACATAATATGTTGTGCCATCTAACTGATAAAGTATACATACTGTAAGTGGACAATGTAAAAAGATTTGTTGGTTTATTGGTTGATTGTGAATAGGTTGACCAATCATAATGTTTTACAAGATTAGTAATATGTATACAGCCCTGCTCTGTGTCTTGGATTAGGTTTAAACTGAAATGGAATTTATATATTTCTTAAATGTTTAGCATAACTTTATTTTATTTATTCAACCTCAGTCTCCTTATTTGGTAAGCTCAAATAAGCTATAGAATGCTGTAGTCTGAATGCTCTTTTTATATTCAATGAGTTCTCATAAATTAATACTTTTTTTTTTAAATACACAAAAATGCAAATAGTGCATTTTTTATTATGTTCAGAAACATTCCCTTTAGTTCTGCAACCTCCAAATATACAGTACAGCAGGAAAGAGACTGAACTCCGCTCACCCTGGTTTGGGCGATGGACACTAGCTGCATGGTGTGGGTGGTTTGTTGCCCCTTGATACACTGACTGGCCCATATTGACACATTACGCACACACACTAGGTACATCCCCATTAAGAATTTGCTTTAAGTTTGCTTTTGATTTTATATTTAACTTTCAATTGAAACATAACAAAGTAGAAATAAGACAGCAAGGGTTTTTTACTCACCCCAGTGTAGTCATTGTCACAATAGTGTACCAGAAGGAAGCTGGGATGCTGGTGAACTTGCTGGAGCTGGAGCCCTTCTCTGCATAGAACATGACCGTGGCGAAGATGATGATGGCCATGGTGAGCGAGAAGAGGAGGAAGCCTAGCTCTGAAGCACAACTCTTGAGTGTATAACCCAGGATCCGCAGGCCCTGCGAGTGACGAGAGAACTTGAAGATACGAAACACACGAAACACGCGCAGTGTCACGAAGGCGCCGCTCACGTCTTCGTTGTTACTCATTACCAGGCCGATGTAATATGGCAAAATGGCCACCACATCGATGATGCTCATCACTGAGCGCATGAAAAGGTAGCGGCTTGGAGCAGCAAACAGGCGCAACAGATACTCCACTGTGAATATCATGACGCAGGCGGTGTCCATGCAGAAGAACGCCACTGTGTAGCGTTCACCACATGGCATGTCTTTCTGGTTGGCGGTGACACCACAGGGCACCGTTTCTACCACATTAGTGAGGACAGAGATGGCTATGAAGAAACCAGTGACATAGTAGAAGACCAGGGCCATAGTGGAGGTGTGTGGGTTCTCAAAGGCTCGCCACATTGTCTCCCTGCAGTTCATGTTGGGCAACTTCATGTCCTTGTTTTCCTCCTGATCATCTTGCAGCCTCTCTAAATTCTCCCTCTTTCTGTCCTTATACTCTTCGTAACAGCAGTCGCCGATGATTTCAGGGATGATGCCGAAGAAAGTCAACTCCTCATCGTAGGCTGAGATGCACTCTTGGCGAGGGTAGTGGAGCTTCCCTGTCCGGTAGAAGTTGAGGATGCTTCTGAAGGCATCAGGGTCCCGGTCAAAAAAGTACTCCTTGATTTCATCATTGTAAAAGAAGTCTTTTTCAGAGCTGCCTAGCAGGGTGTCAGGAAAGCGGTCCAGAGTGGTTCTCCATGTCTGAAAGCGACGACCGCTGACATTAAGTACGATCAGCTCATCCTTTCTCTTACGGTTTTCCTTTGGTGCAATAGGCATGGGGCAGTTGGCAACAGGCATCCATCCGATGGCTGCTGCCCTGGCAAAAGGCAGCCAGGCTGCTACTCCTGTCGCCATGGTGAAGTTGCGTTCAAAGTGGTCCTCCTCACCTTCAGAGTCGACACTCCTCAAAATCAACTGACATCTAAGGGGTTAAATCACAACAAGAAGAGGAAATAAAAGCTGAAAACACAACACAAGAAAATATCATCAAATGATCACTGTTTGAAATCATGTCACTAAAAAAAGGCAGCATGAAGCTTTTGTCACGTTTAGTTCCAAACAAGTTTTAAATCTCTCTTCAATTTTCAGTCATTCCCTCCTGCTTTCAAATCCATCTGAATCTACCCCAAATCTCATCCAATTTTGAGGACAAAGCTTTAAGGCAACAGCTAAAGCACTAGTGCAGGGAAATCAGAAAGGAGGATAAAGGTGAAGTCAAGCACTATTTCACTTTGGATCTGCAAAGATGATTCGACCAATCAAAACGTTTATCGACAGACAAATGATTGCCAACTTTGTTTGATAATCAATCAATCATTAAATTTACTTTTCATGCCGAATGGTAAATCATGGTGATTTAAACCTCCCAGATAGAGATTTCCTGCTTTTCTGATTTAAATATTAAGTTTAATATATTTGAGTTTTGGACTGCCAAAAAAAAGACATTTAAAGACATCAACTAGGATTTGGGGAAATTATAAATGGACATTTCTCCCAATTTTCCCACAATTTAAAAACGATTTGCCGATGAAAAAATAATTGATTGTTACAACCCTTGTTCAGATCTGTTCAGGTTTAGCACATGACCTCATCTTTAAATACTCCATTATTTAGAGTAAGGGATAAAGCCTGAAACGGATTGCTAACACTGTGACTGTTAAACATTTTTTTGTTTCATTTGTGAAGGAGACGAACCCATATTAGCTACAGACATTAATTCCTCCAGTTAGATGTTTAGGAATAATGTGGTCAATCAGTTCAGCACCATCAACTCAAATACACAAAAGCCCAACCCTATCCTGAGCAGCATCACTATCTGACCGATACGGAGACGCGCTGACTGTCAGGCACTGAAACAAACCTGTTGCATCAGAATAAGGACGAAACTAATCCAGATTGGAGATATCCTTACAAAATGTTGGTTGGTTTCATTCTAATAAATGCATCATTTTAGAAATAACCTTAATCACCCGGTCAGTGACAGTAGCCTACATTTACAAGTAAATGATGTTTACACATTACACATATTTGACTGCATATAGCCTATGCTTAATTTACATATCAAATAAATGCTTTCACACATGTTTGGTAGCCTACAGTGAAAGTACTTTTTGCATGCAAGTAGCTGACTAACTTCTACACGAAATGCATTTAATCAACTAACGTATGCTATTTTTAAACGAACCAAAACATATTCTAAGAAATAAATTGAGACTGCAGCACATACAAACACTCACCGATAAAGTGGAGAGGGACACAATCCCAACTCTTCCAAACCAGATCAGACTTTCTGTAAGTCCTCTGTCAGAGAAGAAGAGCTCGGGTCCTTCCAGCGCGATGAAGCAGCGCCTCTTCCTCACACACCGGCACCGAGCAGAGCGCCAACAACGCGGCTGGTGGAGCAGAATGAACCCGTCTGTGGGACCAAAAGACTCCAGGAAAAATGGTTTAGAGCAAGATCTGTGCACGTCCTCTGATGGATTTCTACATCCTGGCTTATCCTTTGCTTTATCCCGTAAGTGTCAGGGAAGTGAAATGTGATGTTGCAGCGCTTCCCTTTTCTCCAGCTCAAAGTACGTCTCTCTCACTGCCAGCTCCGTGTCATCAGCCCTCCTTCCCTTTGCCTCACTTTACCATCATATGTGACAGACCTATCCTGTCACGTTGGCTTTATTCAATACTGTGGTGCTGCATTGCTGAGGCTATACTACAGGAAGCACCACGTTTGGAAGGGTGTGGCAGAGATACAGGAGATAAAGAAAAAGGGTAACACTTTACAATAAGGTACACAAAATGTGCTTAGTTACTGAGGAACTATTAGATAGTTAATGGTTAGTTAATGAGTAGTTCCTCAGTGACTGCGATTGAGGAACTGATGGTTAGTTACTGGTAAACAGACTGGGGGGTACTGTATTAATGAATCATTCGTTAATGGTTAGTTAATGAGGAGTTCCTCAGTGAATTTATGGTTAGTTACTGGTAAACAGACTGGGGGGTACTGTATTAATGAATCATTCGTTAATGGTTACTTAATGAGGAGTTCCTGAGTGAACTAATGGTTAGTTACTGGTAAACAGACTGGGGGGTACTGTATTAATGAATCATTCGTTAATGGTTACTTAATGAGGAGTTCCTGAGTTAACTAATGGTTAGTTACTGGTAAACAGACTGGGGGGGGGGTGGTACTGTATTAATGAATCATTCGTTAATGGTTACTTAATGAGGAGTTCCTGAGTTAACTAATGGTTAGTTACTGGTAACAGACTGGGGGGGGGGGGGGTACTGTATTAATGAATCATTCGTTAATGGTTACTTTATGAGGAGTTCCTGAGTTAACTAATGGTTAGTTACTGGTAAACAGACTGGGGGGGGGTACTGTATTAATGAATCATTCGTTAATGGTTACTTTATGAGGAGTTCCTGAGTTAACTAATGGTTAGTTACTGGTAAACAGACTGGGGGGGTACTGTATTAATGAATCATTCGTTAATGGTTACTTAATAAGGAGTTTCTGAGTGAACTAATGGTTAGTTACTAGTAAACAGACTGGGGGGGTACTGTATTAATGAATCATTCGTTAATGGTTACTTAATGAGGAGTTCCTGGGAGACTTTGATTGAAGCAATGGTCCGCTGCAGCAGGGCACTTTTAAACCTGCCATCTTCGGCTGGCTTGGGTCCCACCCTGGATCAACTGGTGGAGGTGGATCTGATTTACCTTACCATTACTTAGGCCGTTTGGGTACGGTAAACTCAAGGAACGCAAACAAAAACAGTAGTTACCCATTACCTAATGCCTACTTAACCATTCGTTAAGCATTGTGTGTCCCCTCAAGTAAAGTAATGCATCAAAAACAATAGTTACCAATTACCTAATGATTACCTTACCGTTACCAAAACAGTAGTTACCCATTACCTAATGATTACCTTACCATTCATTAAGCAGTAAACAAACAAACAAACCCTGTGCACTCAAGTTTACATTTTTATTTAAATAACAATCCAAAGGACACTAATAATGAAAACGAGGTTGCTTTCAGAACTTGCGAAAGTGGCGTATGTCATGCAGCAATCTGCCTAAGGGACCATCTTTGTGTTCATTTGCCAGCCAATGTGTCTACTCGATCAAAGCAAGATGACTCTTCAGAGTCTTCACTGTGCGGTTTCCTCGCAGTCTCCAGACCTGTGACTTGTACGTTGACCAAGCCCGCTCAATGTTTTGGGTGTGGGCTCCTGTGTCTGGGTTCACAAATGACCGGCTGTGGTTCACAGAGAAATGGACAAAGCCACTTTCTGCGATTGCAGTGGTGTATGCCCTCCACATGTCCGTTATCACCGTGGTCCCTTGGCGAACGTATTTTGTGACCAGAGGAATTAAGTGGCGCCGTGATCTTTGTTTCACCAGCCTCAGGATAGGTCTTCTCCTTTTTCCTCTGATGCCCAGCATAGCAAAGACCCATTTTCTCCTCCTCCATGTAAGACCGAATCTTCCCCTACCATACTGTAATAAAGCAGTGAAAAAGGACAACACAGTTATATACAAATTAGGGCCGGGACTTTAACGCGTTAATTAAGATTAATTAATTACACAAAAATTAACGCGTTAAAAAAATTAACGCATTTTAATCGCACTTATTTTTGCACAGCGGAACGTTTCTCACTGGATGAGTTTCAGGCGTACCGATTATACTGGAGCACCAACTAACGTTCATGACTTCAGACAACAACAAACCACAGTGAACAACAGTGGGAAATGTTGTTTTAAAAAACGGACGGATGGAAGCGTCGATAAGAGCACGGTTGTGTGCAAATTATGCAAAAAGGAATTCGCATATCACCGCAGCACATCAAGCCTCAAGTATCACCTCAATGCAAAACATATAGCAGCTAGCATGGAAGCTAGCGTGGACGTTAGCCTCTTTATCGCGTTCACACCAAAAAGAGCCGGTACTAAAATTAGTTAATGAGAACCTTTTTACCCCGACGAAAGTCCCTGCTAGAGAGCAGAGAGCTGCTAGAGAGCAGGGACTTTCGTACGGCTCTCTTGTGAGAAAATAGCTATATTTCTGATTGGCTGGGCGGATTGCAAACCACGCCCCGTAAAACTCCCAAAAAGTTTTGTGAAGCCGCCATTTTATTATCCTCGCATTAGCATTATTAGCATTAGCCCAGCGCAGAAACGCAGAGAGACTAACTTATGGCAACACAAAATAAAACATGGGAGCGGTGGAGATGAGGAGGTGTCGGCGTTCTGGCGATTTACTCGGAAGGCTGCTGGGACTCCCAGCAGCTTCTACTGAAGCCAGTCCCTAACTCCGGGGACTTCCGGCCGGGGACTTTGGGCGGCAGTATACGCCGTGAAGTGGTTTGCGGCCTGCCAGTAAACCCAAAGCAGAAGAAGAAGAAGTGACGTCAGCGGCTTCATTTGCCTAATCCACCCCCAGGTTCAAAGAGTTCTCATGAACTCAATTCTCATGAACCTTTGTGGGAAAAGTACTGCGGTGTGAATGTGCCTAATGGTATACTAAAATCCATGTGAAAAAAAATTGCTTCTCACTGTTCTTAGGTCAAATATGTATATGCGATTAAAAATGCGATTAATTTCGATTAATTAATTACAAAGCCTCTAATTAATTAGATTAATTTTTTTAATCGAGTCCCAGCCCTAATACAAATATATATATCAGGAATTTCAATTGATAAACAAAGTGAAATGTGTTTGTTATTTGCGTTCTTTTACAATTTAAAAATATTCACTTCCTTTCTCAAAAAAGAAGAGAGAAAAATTAAAATGTAGTGGTACAAACAGAAAAGGCTGTTTAATTTTATTAAGTTAAAGTTTGCTTATTTTGCTGCAAGAAACATGAAAATGTAAGATAGATATTGGAATTAGATGATATATAAATAGATGATGCACTTTTAA